ATACATACATATATATATACATATATATACATATATATATATATACATATATATATATATATATATATATATATATGCATATATGTAGGAACTCGTAAAAGGCGCATAGATTATCCGGACTATCAATTATATATGGCATCCTACGAAGGGACAAGAACAATTTCGAGTGAATGAATGGAGGGAGCAAAAACCGGATAAGATTGGAGGGTACTGGGTCACGTAGGCACTCGTGCGACCGGATTAAGCTATGGACGTATCGATCAACCAATGTCTAGTCCCATCTCTATTTGTATTGCAGCATACAGTTTCGAAAGCGATTGATTAGGCTTTGCCGTCATCCATCTGCCATGGAAAGAGGCGTGTCGTCAATTTTTTTGAGGTAGGATATGTCCCAATTATCGAAGCCTACTTAATGATTGACACTAAATTTAGCATGTTCTGCCTAAAATATTGAAAGTATGATTGGTATATTTTAAATTGCGAGCGTTGACATGCTTGAAATATTCTCTTCACCTAAGATAAATGATGGGGTAATATTTTATTTATGTTTTTGTTGCCTTGACGCACGCTTGGCGCGGGCGACATCTAATAAGCATAATTACTTTGAACTGTATCAACTAATTAGCAGAATTATTTTGAGCTACGGAAGTTTCTCAATGGAGATCATTAGGTACCCAACAACATATTTTCGTTTCTGACTCTTGAATTCATCATGCTTACGTATGAAACTGGACAATTGTTGACCAGTGGCGAGGAAGCTTCCGAAGCAAATGAAAAAACTTATATATTCAGAGCAATGATCCCTATTAATAGATATTTATATATGAAAAAATTAAAAAAATAACTAAAAGAATAATCTCATTGGTAAATATCTAAATAATTAGATTATATATATATATATATATATATATATATATATATATGAATCTAGCTCACAATCTAATATTTTAAACTTTTTGGGTTGAATTGGTACTTGACCTCATATATGTTAACCCTGATTCAGATTTATCATTATAAGATTTTTAACATAGTATCATAACCAAGGTGTAAATAGGTAAAGAGAGAGAGAGAAAGAGAAATGATGAATGGAAAAAATAATAATAATTAGAAAAAAAAAGAGATAGAGCCAACATAAACTTAGTAATCAAAGTCAAGCTTGCAATACCAACATAGTTAGTCACACCGTTGATCAAGCTACAGTGTAAATAGGATTAACTGCATCACTTACTCTTACTGGCAGTAAGGGAGAAATGATTTTATATTTTTTTGATATTACGGGATGATTCACTCATTTGCATCTATCTAAAATAATGTGATTCATCTTTATTCAGTTAAACCACAATCTGACTGATTAAATCTCTTTTTTTACTTAATTTTTTAATTTTATTTTTTCAGTCCCGAAGAACTGTATTATTGTTGGCCAACTTAATCATGAGGAGTCTATTTTTGATGATTGCGATGATAAGATTCTGAAATACTTTGGTGGACTGGGGCCATGTCAGTACCCAAGCCAGCTATGCCATTGTAGCTCCTTTGTGAGCTCATCTCCTGGAAATGAATTGGTTTCCGTGCTTTACTCTGTGACCTACCATTAAGCAAAGACATGAACTCTCACCTAATGAAACCACTTGAAAGTGAAATAATGGTGTTTATATATGCAGATGCAAGTAGAGTGCGACTAAAGTGCATTGCTTGCATACTTTCCTTTTTGTTAAAATGAAAGCAATGCTTGCGTACCGTCCACCCCTCCCAAAACTTTTTCTACAACTACTTACCATCTAAAATCTAGCCTTCTTCTCTATACCGAACCTTCCAAAGGGCATATAAATAAGGAGATGGCGATATCTAATATTGACATCTTCTTGGTGTTGACCATACTGGAGACTTGGGTATGCACTTACCATTGATCAGAATACATATAAGTAATACTAGCGTAGTTACCAGGTACAAAAAAGCTAGCTTTTGCACGCAAAAAGTTAGTCCCTTGCGATTGGTTCTTTCTTTATTTAAAGCAAAATTTTCATGGTAGTCCCTTGCGATTGGTTCTTTCTTTATTTAAAGCAAAATTGAAATCATACATCGGCTGGATGCATGCCAGCGTTGCCTACTGGTGGCGGGTCACGCGGGGGAAAGGGATAGAATCACTGAGGGCCCATTGCAATGACAAGTTGCTCCTCTTTTACTTTCTGCTTCTCCTATCTTCCCCAGTATATGTATAACGTCTTTGCTGGTACTACAATATGCAGCAAAACAGTATTCCTCGATGGGTTTCTAATTCGCCAGGTGATCAATGGATGGTAATAGCTCGTGTAGTCTCTAAAGCTCTATGCAGTAATAGCAAAATGGCATTACTACAACATGTTGCTAATTCGCGGGGCGATCAGTGGGTGGTAATAGCTCATATAGTTTCTAAAGCTCTTAAGCAGTACCATCACAATACTGCAATTTTGCTACCGTAACAATAAAAAAGAATCCAACTAGAATGGTCACTCATAATTGATGATTGCAGAACAAACAGCGTGTCCACACAGGTATGCAGCAACTCCCAAACGTTGGTGGAGTAAGACGCTTCAGAACAAATTCAGCAAAATTCGTTTTATAAAAAAAAACCACAAGTAATAATACTTGAACGATGAACTTGGAGGCGTAGTTGACGGCGACAAATGCCATCACACAAGGTCTGTTCCTTCATCCCCTGCCTTCCATCAACATGTTTCCTATTTGCCTTTTTTCCTTTTTTTACCCTTTGTTTGTGATAACACAACTCTCCGATGGGATTATGTACGTATCTGAACTTTTAATTACATTCGTATGTGATCATGTGGCTAACACCGAGGGCAACACGAATTCTCAACTATTGCTATCTACTGGTCTTCTTCAGAATAAGGATGATAAAAATTGAATACTGGTTCAGATAATGTGATGACTAATGAAGGAGCTAATTTTATGTTAAGAGATAATAATTAATTCCTTTCCATTATGTGCTGATTGTATGTATATATGTCGGAGATTGATTGAATATAATAAAGTTTTGATTGTGTAAGAAGGATTGGAAGCTGCTAACAAGGAAGGGGTCCTAATGAAAATGAATTCCTCCTCTTATAAAACTTATTAAAGATAGACTCTTCATGAGGTCAGATTTGTATATATTTTCAAAGAAGAGAATCATTTAGGAGATTAATTAGTGAATTTTACCATACTAAATGAGGTGATTGGTTTTTGGAAGGGAGTATTTTTCATTCAATTATCTGGTTTGATTGTTGATGTTATATACGATGGTTGTACTCATATTTTAAAATAATATATATTTAAAAAACAAAAAACTCTCCTTCTTACTTCGTCACTTCAACAGTTGACTTCAAGTTGGCGGTCACTCACGAACTCACGTGTCCTAATTGAGAAGTTACCCACGAAGAAGGATATGAAAAGATTCCCCTGAAGAGGCCTCCCGCATCCTTTTGGACCAACGAGGATACAAAGAAACAGCAGCACATGTCAGGCCCTTTGCAGTATTCACTCACTGTAGCAGATAACTCCAGCGGTTTACCATCCTCTTCGCCTTGATCAGCTCAATGAATCTAAAACAATCACTATTTTGTCTTTGGGCTTCCAAAGTTTTGTGCCTCGCCACTCTCTCTCTCTCTCTCTCTCTCTCTCTCTTGCTTCCGTTGTACTTCACAGCAACTCCTCTCTACCAACCTCCTCAGAAACCTCTCTTTCCCTTTTCTTGTTCCAGACGTCCACGCTGATCTCTCCACAAAATAGTGTCCTGAAGCCTCTCAAGCAAATCCTCTCTTTTCGGCATAATTTTTTCCATTCGTTGCCCTCCTTTTTCTCTTTCGCTGATCTGCTTCTTTGGCACTTCATTCAAGCTTTAAGAGCGGATGCTCCTCCATAGGGATTCTCGAAACTCTCGTCGCAATCCCAAGAAGTCGTAAAGCGAGGAATAGGAAATTGAGCGAAGGACCCTGCAAAAGAAAAGAGAAAGGAATGGCACCTTCCAGTTGTCCTCAACTCTTTCTGTTCTATATTTGCTTCCAAAAGTCCTTTTTCCTTCTCTCACGCTCTCCGTGGACTTATGTGCTTGTTAGTTTCTCTTTTCCAAGGGTCTGAGAGAAGACTGATTTGCTCGTTATTGCCCCTTCTGCTTCTTCTTCGCCTTCTTGTTGCTTTGGTTTGGAGGCAGGTGAGGGAATGGTGGGGATTTCTGTTGGAATGGTGAGGAGCTGCGGTGCTCTGCTCAATGAGCTTAAGGTTCTTTCTTCTCTCTTTTTGTAATTATGGTTGAAATTGAGATATAGGCTTGAGTTCCAATTAGCAATGTTATTGGTCGTTCTCTTTTAATTGTTTCTGGAATTACATGTACATTTGAACGTATAGTAGCATCTTTAGCCTTTACAGTAATCAGTTCTCAGGCAAAATGGTTTTTCTGTTATGATTAGTAATTACGGATTCCACCAAAAAAAAAAAAAAACTAGTTAACTTATAGATATATCTTAGCATTTTAAAGCCAGTCTAATGATATATTGTAATATAATGTTGAGATGTATCATTTTATCTAAAATTAGAAGAGAAATTACAACTTGCTGAAGTCGTGGATTATGTAAGTTATTTTTACATTTTATCGGTTATATATATATATATGTGTGTATATATGTATATATATGTATATATAATATATATATACATATATATATACATATATATACATATATATATACATATATATACATATATATATACATATATATACATATATATATACATATATATACATATATATATACATATATATACATATATATATACATATATATACATATATATATACATATATATACATATATATATACATATATATACATATATATA